AGGGTCCTCACCCCAGACCAGAGTCAGCCCGGAGCTGACAGGCGCAGGAGAGCTGGAGCTACTCCTGTAGACTGCCCACATGGGTTCCCATCAGTCCTCTGACCGCTTGCTTGTCTGCCTCCTCTCTGCCTTTCCTGGTATGTAACTGTGGCCACTGGTTGTCCTGCGGATGAAGTAAATGAATATGCACACAAAGCACTTAGCACGGGCCTGACTCCACTACTGCAAGTGCTGCATAAGCCTGCGGTTATTATCATTTAGGGGAGGGGCCGTGATCCAAGCTGCAGGTAGCCCTGGTGTCTGTCCAGACGCCAGGCCTAGCGGGGGTGCTTTATGACCCACTTTTATTTACCAGTGACTCAAGCATCCCAGCGCTCTGCTGGCTCCAGTAAATCATCCAGCCCGCTTGGGCTTCTTCCACAATATCCCTGTGTGTCTGAGCCGGCCCCAGCCGAGAGCAGCCTCCAGGGCTAGATGACGTGTGCCTGTCCTGCAGCCCCGGTGTCCACCACCCTCGCCCGCAGGATCAGGCTGCACTGGACGGAGAGGTGGTGCTGGCCCTCACACCATAGCTCCGTGCCGCGAGCCACTCTCGGGCAGGCGATCCCTTCCCAGCTGCAGGCACTTAGAATTCCAGGCCCTGCTACGATGCTTTATTGCCTCTTTCCAAGTGCTGGCAGGTGCAGATGTAGTACCTGCGCCTGCCCGGAGCTCCTGGCTCTTGGCATCAGAGATGAGAGACCTGTCACCCCTCGATTCATGGGCTGGATTTGGGAAGCAAGCCTGCTGGGCGTTTCTGTGTTTTGTGGGCCATTTTTCTTTGCCTGATTCCTCATTCCTGCCACCCACCTCCTCAGCTCTTTCCCTGACTCGTCCGGATTTCCCTGTGAGAAGCTGCCGCTCTGCCCTGTCGCCCGAGGGCCACTTCGGGAAAGGAGGGGGCGCGCGAAAGGGTCACTCCAGCCAGCACCTGCAACTCAGTCAGCTGTGTCGGGATTTTGGTTTTGCTGCACTTTCCTGTTGCCATCTTTCAGGGATGAGGGGTTGAGTCAGTCGGAGTGTATGCACTCACCCTCGCCCAAACTCTGGCACCCTCAGGTCACCTCCCACCCAGGCCCTTTTCTGCACAGAGTTTTGGAGGTGGCTTAGAGAGCATCCTGCTCACCCTGCCCCCATGTCTCTGGAATGTGGACTTTGAACAAACCCACTGTAGACTGTGGGCTCAGCGTCAAAATAGCGGGACCCTCAAGGAGGAGGAATGGATATGAAGAGATGGTGCAGTGGGAGCTACAGTTGCCTCTGGACTCAGCCTGACTCTGGGCCCACCTGCTGGCATGGTGTTAAATGCATTTTTTTTCCTCCAGCAAAAGTCCAGAAACTCAGAGAGGTTCGGTAACCTCTCCGCAGCACATAGCCGGGAAGGGCTGTAGACAGTTTCTCAGATGACGGGCGGTTGCCCACTGGGTCATGCACAGAGTGGGGTGTGGACACAGCGGCCGCCCATACCCTGCCTCCCCAAGTGCTGACTTCTTTGGAGAGCCTGGCCTGGCTGGCCCTCTTTTCCGCTCTGGAATGCTGGGTCCATGGTTCTACTTCTGGATTCTGGACCCGGCTTCCAAGCTATCAGCTTCCTGACCCGCCCTCTCCTACCCTCACTCCCTGCCAGGTCCACCCCTGACTCTGGGGTTTGTGGGCCTGTGGGGAGCTCCGTGGCATCTCCCATAGGCCTATAAGGCTGCCCCTCTGCCAGCATCAGCAAGCTGGACAAGCCCAGTGAACAGTGACTGCACCTTCTGGCCATTTCATGCCACGAGGCCTCCCAGCCCCTCCCCATGCATTTCTCCTGGCACTGTGGCCTGCCTGGAGGCCTGTGGGATGTGACCAATTTTTGGGTGGAACCCACAGTTTAGGGACCAGGACTCGCTATTTCTTGCTTGTCCATTCCCTCACTAGGGATTGCCCTAAATGATTGCTTCAGGATGCAGAACATCTCTTATCCCTGGAAACCTCCCCTGATGCCATCTCTTTGCATTAGGGGCTCCTCATCTGGGCCCCCAGCACTTCCTCATTCTATTCAGGCTCTTAGCACACAGCTCCTGGTATTTAGTGCTTAATAGTAAGCCAGCCACGGCTCTCTGCCTACACTGTCTCCTGGACCCAGCAGCAAGGGTGGGCACTGCTATGCATGGCAACAGTGCCTGTTTCACAGACAAGGGTGTCCCCCCCATACTGTGACATTTGGGAACAATAAAAGCAGTCTCTTCCTGTCCACCCTGAACCCCCAGCACAGCTAGCACAGTGCCCAACACACAGTAGCACACAACATTTGTTACAATTGTGACCAGGCAGAAAAGCCCCATAACCCAGTCCAAGATAGGGACGTGTGGCTCTGCAAGGGGGTGGGAGGACTTTGTGGTGACTACCACCAGAAGAGTTTTGATCTTTTAAGTGGGTTAGCATAGATATGAAGTTGGGCTCCTGCCACGGGGCAAGGTCCCAGTTAGGCAGCAGGTGGGGGGCCTCTGGGAAGAGGCTTCTTTCCTGTGGCTCTTCCCCTGGGTAAATGCTCCCTTTGGTGAGTCGACGTGGCTAGAAGACTGGTGGACCCCCGCCTTTCCCCTCCTTCCTTTTTCCCAGGCTCATGAAACAGGAACAGCAGTGCCACGGAGCAGGGCGGCAGCTGTGCGAGTGCCTGGTGTGGCATGGCAGGAGGGCCCCACCACCGAGGCAGTGCTGGTTCCTCTGTGCTGCTGCCGCTGTGCTGTGGCTGTGGTTGCCCAGCCAGGAGCCTCCCGGGTAGATCAAGGAGTGGACTGTGATCTGCCCTAGAGATTTTAGCATTGCATACCTGGTAGAAAGCTGGGTCTGTTCGGTCTTGTACTGGGAGAGCCCAGATTTGGTGACAGGACTTCACTCAGCTCCAGTCAGTGTGGGCCTTGGGGTTAGGCTCTGTGGCCCTGGGGACTCTTGCAGACCCACCTGGCTGCACTTACAGAATGCCCCAGACATCCTGGGAGGGATGTGCTGGTATTTATTGCACACTTCCTACCTGGTGCTGCTGTGCAAAGGCCTCAAAGAATCCAAATTTACTCCCTTTACCAAGCTCTCACATCTGCCAAACACAGGGCCCCGGTTCCTCGTTAACTTCACAGTATTAATAAGCAACCCACTGTTGCTTATTAATGCAGCTCCAGAGGCTGCATTTCCTTTATCTCTTTGGCCCTTATTGTAGCCATAAGTGGTGGGCACTATACCCAATTTACAGAAAAGGTGACCTAGAGAAAAGCTGTAAGTAATGTGTCCCTGGGCAAAGTAAATGACACAAAGTAAGTGATAACTGTCCTCTGAACCCCTATTTTCCATGCCCTTAACCCTTCTGTGCTGGCATTCTCAAATGTTTTCAGGCAACTTCTTTCATGCATCTCTGACCCAGCAAGGCCTACAGGTCTGTGACGGAGACAGTTTGATGAAGCAGGAGCTCTACTGAAACAAAAATCTCTGTGTTGTCCCAGGAGCAGCAAGTGATCTTTGGAGCCACTTCTAATAGGGGTTTGTAAATCACATGGGCTGAGGACAGAATCTGCCTTGACCTCCGGTGGGTCTTGTGCATCCTGGGTGCAGCAGTGCTGTGGGGGAGCAGGCAAAGGCTAGACCTGAGGTTGTGTGCCAGAGGGCAGGGATGGACCTGGAGACAGGGCCTCAAAACTTGCTTTAAAAAAAAAAAAAAAGAAAGAAAAAAAGATTGATTATTTATGCACACAGAGCTGGAGAACAGGCCAGAGGTGCAGGGGCAGTGAGCAGTGTCGCCAGCTTGTAGGGGAAGGAGGTGGGAGTTGCCGGGAGGCGTGCTCAAGACAGACGCAGTTTTTGGTTCGGTTTCGTTGTTTTAACCCAGGAAAAGGTGGCCAGTGTGTGTGCTATGTGAGCAGTCTGCAGAAAGGGAAAGCAGGTGCTGAGGAAAGGGACTCGAGTGGACGGTGTGCTTGTGTGCAGAGTAAGGGTTAGGGCTAAATAGAACTCTGGTGAGGGGCCATTCATTGAATTTCACTTCCTTAAGGGCTTCCAGCTTGTGCTCTGAAAGCCTCCTGTCTGCCTAAAACCTCACAGCTTCCCACAGGGATGCATTTGCCTGGTTCTACCACCTGGACCCTTGCAGAGAAGGAAGTGGAAGCATAAGTCTTTCTGGTGCCACAGGGCTGCTGAGACTTAGGAAGTGGTATCAGAGTTGACATCAACTTTGTGGGCTCAGCAAACACCCAGATTGCTGGCCGCCTCCCTGCTGGCCCCAGCCCCCCAGGCCTGGGCTCTTGTCGGTGTCTAATGTGGCCATTCGGCCTGGGAGCAGGTATCCCAAGGCGTCTCCTTACCACAAGCATGAGGAGCATGCCCATCCCAGAGAGTGGCATCACAGCGCTCCTGCTGACTGGCCCTAATGCAGCTTAGCTCTCCCGAGGTGGAAAAGACGGACATTCTCGTCTAATAATCGGCTTTTTCAGAGCAGAATTCCAAAGAATGGTGCTGAATAAAATCTCCCTTCTAAGCCCCCCTCTCCCTCCATGAAAGCATATTAGGGCAGAATTTACCTACGCTCTTCATTCTAGAAAAGGGGGTGGCAGGGAGGGCCTAGGGTCAGGTCGAAAGGACCGGGGCTCCGTGCTCCTGGGCCAGGGCACCGGAGAGCCGCTGCCGGGCAGAGGGCAGAGGGCAGGCCCTCCCACCCCAGCTGCCTGGTGACTTGGCCAGCATGTATGGCTGTTGTAAACCATTTTTAAAATTTAGCACCAAAAGTGAGTCATTTTTTTAATTCCCTTGTCCGCCCGCTGATACTAACTGCAGACCCGGCCAGCATGCTCTCCCAATAAATAATACCTATGATGGCTTTTTCTTCTGGTTTTAGCTTTTGCTGCGCCCGGTAGAAGGAGAGAAAAGGCCTGACTTGAAACCTGTCAGGCATGCCTGTGGCCGCCTCGGCATCTCAAATTCTTTTTATTTTCTCCCGGCAGGCTCAGCGTTTCCTCTCCACCATAACCTTATTCCCTGCTTCTTGTGGGTTATCGATCGCCCCTCCTCTGCCTTCGATTTTATTTCTTCCTACACTCATCCTTAGAATCCAGAGGTGATTTCCTCGACAAATTAGAACATGGCCTGGGCCTTAAGTGCTCAAGTGTCTCTTTAAAGTGATGGATCATCATGAGTATCCAGAGAGCAGCACCAAATTGGAGTCTTTGCCCAGTGCCGTTGGTAAGGGGTCGTCGTCTGAGAGAAGTCTGTGGTGACTGTGGAGCCTGGGGGGAGGGAGGCCTGCTGGCCTCTGGGGGCTGGTGTGTGAGCTCACCCATGCACGTGGTCACACAAGCTTGAGCATGAGCACTTGAAAGTCAGCGTGGTCAGCAGCCTGTGGTTTTGGCCCACGCGGACCTCCAAAGAGAAGCAGCCTCTATGAGGGGAGATGCACGTTGTGTGAGGAAGTGCTGCTGGGCTCAGCTTGGGTTCCTGCTTGCTGGTGCTTCTGCTGGGTCCCCTGATGAGAGTGGTGGGGAGCACTTCCCGACCGCCTCTTCTTTATCTGCACCCCCTAGCACCTGATCCTCCTCCTGCTTCAGCTGCTACTGATGCCCTGGGGAGGCTGCAGGAGCTGCTGTCAGCCTACGGTGTCTGAGTAGGTGGGGGTTTCCTTGGAAGGCCTTCTTCCTGCTTGCCCTGGCCACGTGGTCAACCTGCAGAAGAGGAAGGACAGGCTGACCCACATCAGCAGTGGCCAGGCTCCAAATCAACACTTCCCTTCAGAGCTCTAGGTCACTTGCGTGTGGATTCATGAACCCTCTGTTTCTCCGAATCTTCCCTCTGTTCTGTGCTAGTTTTCTGCCTGTTAAGATGAAAATCAGAGGCCAGCTTACCCTGGTGAAGGGGTGACAGAGGAGCAGGCAGAGTTGGTAGCAGAGATGTGTGCTGCTTCTGTGCTCATGTTGCCCAGATTCAGCAGGCCTGGGATTCAGGGGAGCTGGGTTGTGTTTCTGACTCGTGTTTCAGGTTTGCTGGGAGACTTGGGGCATTTTGTTTCCCTGTTTAGAAAGTAGACCAAGGTTGGCAAACCTTTCTGCAGAGATGCAGATGGTAAAGATTTTAGTCTTTTGGGGCCACCCAACCTCTGATACTTGTAGAGTCAAAGCCCCAACAGATAACCTATAAACAGGAGCTCCAGTGGTGTAGTCGGTTAGTGCGTAGTGCTGATACAGATAATCTATAAACAGAGGGATGTGGTTTCCACCATTTATTTTACAAAAAAACTGAGGTGGGCATATGGGGGTGGGGGACATCATGCCCTGACCCCTGGACTAGATGTTGTCTTATGCTTCCTTCTACACTAGTGTCTCAAGTTCTATTATAAAAGTACTGTCCCTATTAATTTATCTTTATAATACTTGCCCCTGCCTGAAATATTACCTATTTATTTGTTTATGCATTTGCTGACTTTCTCCTTGGCCAGACCATCCGTTCCATAAAGCAAGGAGCTGGCACTAAGTCCCCTGTGCCTAGAAAATCTATTGAACTCAATAAATATGTGCAGTGATGAATTAATCTGTGTCTGTGGGGGGGCTTAACACATCGGTGTTGGACAGGCAGTTGGGGGAAGGGGACAGGAAGGAGACCCTCATCTAGGGTTCTAGGCTGTTGCCCCACATTCGGGGATTTGGCATCTGATTATGGGGTTGCCTTACCCTGCGTGCTCAGCTTACACTGAAGCAGCCAGTGTGCACCATACTAACGACAGGCCATCTGGCCTGAAACTTAGCTGTTAGCCTTTGTTTTCCTCTGTCTTGCACCCCCCTCATTCACTCCGTCAGCAAGTCCTGTCAGTTCTGCCTCCAAGGTGTCTCAGGTCCCTCCATTGTCCTCCTCCCCTGTCACACCCTCACCTCAGGCCTGTTGGAGGCTAACCAGCCCTAGGGTAGAGCTGGAATCTCAAAGTTGGGGAGGGGACCCCAGGGAGGCCCTGGCACAAAGGGAGGGCAGAGGAGAGTGTTGGTGGTTTGGCCAGTAACCTGGGGCGAGAGTGAAGGGGAAAGCTTGAAGAGGGGGCCTGGAGAGGAGGGATGGCCATGGAGCCTTGAGGGGTTGCTTGTGGGTTCTTCTCTGACAGCTCTTTGATCTGGGAGTTGGAACTTGAGCCCAGGGAGATGGCACCAGCAGAATGGTTGACAGACAGTGAGAATTGGTTTGTAGATGGGGACTGATGCAGACACTGGGCTGTTGAAGTGGAGAAGGTGGCTTAGAGCTAACGAGACTGAGCAAAGTGAGCCTGGGTTCAGGAGCAGAGGAGGGGAGAGCTGCCAGGAGGGCAAGGATGACCTGAGAGCGCAAGCGAGGCACCGGCACCCTGGAGGGAAGGGCCAACAGGACACTGATCTCCCCAAAGATAAGATTCCTTCCTTGCCTCTCACAGATTTTGGGGTGCTCTGCCATCCTCAGCTGGTAACCTTCTAACTCCAGTTTCTCTGTGTTTATATGATGTTCTCCCTGAGTGTCTTGTCTCCTTTGTATGGACACATTCTTTTAAAGAATGTTTTAAAGAAGTCTGTGGATTTAGGGTGTCCCCAACCCAATATGCTCTCCGCTTAACTAATAACGCCTGCAAAGACGCTTCCAACCAAGGTCACATTAGAAGTTTCTAGGTAGATGTGAATGAGGGGGTACTGTTGAGCCCATTACAGACAGGGCAACATGGTATCAGGAACTTGATTGCTGATGAGAGGACCCTTTGTGTTGCCTTGAGGGGCAGCGTTGGAAGGAGCACAGGAGGAGAGAAGGGATACTCAGAGTCCATGTGAGAGAGGCCTAGAGGGGCTCGCACCGGAAGAAGTGCAGCCACAGTCCATGGCAGCCTCACATCTGTTTAGAGCCAGGTTCAGAGAAGGTGGCGAGGACCTGGAGGACGTGGAGGTGCATTATCGGGGTGCATTACTGCCTGGTGCCAGCTAGGGTGGACTGACGGGGCTGTTGCCTGGGGGCTCCAGAGCTCCCACTAAGCAGAGCGTCCTGTTCCTAGTCCCTGGTCTTACCTAACCTTGTGCCGGTCTTTACAAGTCAGGCATCCCAGCTGATCCTGCTAATCTGGCCAAAATGTCACCTGCAGTTCTCGGCAGATCCTGCTTTCCCCTATGTCCCTCGTACCAGGACTTTAGCCCTGGGGAGAGCCCCCTGCCTGACTCTGGTTTCAGCGTGACCAGCAGGAGCCCTGGGCACGAAGACAGTAGAAGGATGGGAGTCCCACACTTGGAACTACCCTCCCCCAAGCAGCCTAGAAGGGGTCAGGCGCTAGCAGCAGGGCTAACGACTGCTTCTTCAGGGGTTACGAGCAGAGGGAAGGAAGGGCCCAGTGCTGGGACTCCCCTCCGCCAAGGGAAACCTGCGTGAGTCTCTGAGCCAGCAGGGAAGGAAGGACGGGCCAGCAGTGAAGGGGGCAGAGAAAATGTAGATGAGAATGGTGAGAAATCATGGCACAGGACTCCAAGAACTCAGCTTAGGCCTGAGGAGAGCCCTTGCTGAGAGGGGAGAGGTGTCCTCCGGGAAGCTTTCCACAGAGGGGAGGAGAGGCAGGGACACTCGCTCGGGAAACCTCAGCAACTTCGCTTCCTCCCAGGCCAGGCTTCCAGAGGACTTGTGAACAAGGACTCAGGACTGGGGTGTGCTCCTGTTAAAGACCAGGGTTACAGTGCCCCAGTGAGCCGCCTGGGGAAGGCTGCAGGGCTCACTCACAGCAGCAGGTCTGATGGCAGCCATTCTTCAGAGTGGGGGTGCAGTCTGGCCAGCACCCCCAGGCCTTACCTGTCTAATTTGACCCCAGTCATTCCATCCCCAGGCCTGGCCACCCCCTAACATTTAAGTGGGCCTGGCCTCCTGTGTCTCCACCTGTCTGGCCCCGGAGCAGGCCCTGCCCTTCCTCCTGAGCAGCCCTCCCGGCTCATCAACCCCTGGCCATACACCCACCCATTGTCTTGAGCCGATGGCCCAGACATGGGGCTCACAGACTAGACACCAGCTCCACACCTGCCCAACTCGCTTCCTGGCCTGCCTAGGGCTGACTTCGCAGGTGCCAGGGTAAGGGCATCTCCCTCCAACCTCCCAGGCCACAGAACTCCGCCATCCGAAGGTGGCAAGTTTGCAACGGCAAACTATTCTTGGCTCCAGCCTGCTCGTTGCTGCTAATTTCATGCCCCTGTGATCCAGGTAACGCTTTGCTGCCTCGAGCTGCCACCCCCAGGCTTGAATCGCTTTTTCTCGCCCCGCAGGAGCCCAGCTGCCTCTGCTGCCGGAGCCCTTGAGGTGGGGGTCGCACAGAGCTGCTTGGGAAGCTGCTGGGCGGCCAGCGAGAGCTGGCCTGCCGCAGCTCGTGACTAATTTGCTGCACTTATTTCAAAGTGCCCAAATGGCGTTCAGAGGAGAGGAAGCTTAACCAGGGTCTGCCAGAGATAAACGGGCTCATTTCGGGGCCTCCCTGCCCAGCGAAACCTCTTTACCTGGACTCTGAGCCCGGAATTAAATTCTTCCAGAAGAGATGCTTAGCACGGAGCCTCTCAGCGTGGCAGAGGAGAGGAAATGTTCCCCTCATAAAATGGGCCTCACATCTGGCCAGCTGGCTCTGGTGGGTTTTTAAATTGTGTTTGAAGAGCATCTCACCCCTTTCCTGGTGCTCACAAACTGGGCCAGAGATGAAAATGAGTTTTCTCATTTCCATTACAAGTGAGATCAAGAGCCTGTGCCCAGGCTCGAAGTGGTGGCTTCGCGCCTGCCTGCGTGGCACCTGGCTGTCCCGGGCCAGGGTCAGTCCACACTGGGCCTCCAGGCTTCGGGGGGTTTGCAGCGTCAGGGGAGAAGCTGGACGCCTGCCCACCACTTCCCAACTATGTCTGCCTTAGCGTGTCCGTGCTTATCGGTGGACCGTGTCCATCTGTTTTGAGTGGCTCACAAAAGTGGGGGTTTCCTCTTAACCTTTTTTTCTTTTGAATACTACGCAGATCCACGGACCCATGGAAAGGCCCAGGGGAATGGGCGGTGGGGTTTTAGGAAAAGAGAAAATTTACAGGCAGAGGGGAGAGAAATCTAACCCTGTCATTTGCTTGGGCAGGTGACCGATACTTTAAGGGCTGGGGCAGGGGATGATGCCACCCTCAGAGGACTTCAGGCCCCAGTCCTGGCCTGTGATGGCTGCCTCAGCACCTGTGCTATGATCCAGGAACACTGTTCATGCCAGGCGTCTGAGAGGCAGGCGGCCTTAGCCAGAGTGGCTCTTTGTGGGTATCTTTGTTGATAAATATCTCCCACCCCGACCTCCATCAGAAGAACCTCCCAGCAGCACCAACTGTGTGTGTCTCTGTTAGCTTCAGGCTTCTTGTCTGTGGAGTGGGAGTGACCCGGCTCTTCCACGCTCCTGTAGGCTATGTTGGGAGCAAAGGGACGACGAGTCTGCAGGCTGCATGTAAGTGGCCAGGCTCAAGTGTCAGTTACCTGCTACTGCAGAGCTTCCATTCCCCATGGGTCAGCTGTCAGGTGCCAGGATGACCTTTGATGTTCCTGCTGCCGAGGCAGATGCTGAGCTAGTAGTGGAATGCAGGGGGAGGTCGGGGGAGATTAGAAGAGACACCCAAGGAGCAGAGGCCGTCCTGTGTCCCTGAGCTGGGCCTTGCCCACGCTGGGTGGGAGAATTCAGCATGGTGACTGATAAGCCACTCTCTCGCTTTAGCACCCTGAAGAAGGGTGGGTGTGGTCGCTGCAAGTGCCCTGCTTATCTCTCCAGCCCCCCGTGGCTTCAGGAGACAAGAGACAGTTTTGTCTCGTCTCAGCAGTGTCCTACAGGTGCTGGGGAAAACCCTAGAGAGTCTGTTGGCAATAAATGAACTTGGGTTGGAATCCTAAGTAGCAGAGAAGCCTCTCTTCATGCCTTTCCACACACTGTTGCCTCCTCCTAGAACATCCTTTCTTGCTCCACCTGCACCCCACCACCCTGTGTCTTTCTGGCAAGCCTCTCCTTATCTGTCAGTGTGAGGGGATGGCTCCTGTGGGAAGCCCCCCAGGGCCTTCCTCCCACTGTCCCTGGGCACTATAGCTGTGGGGCTGCACCAGACTGCTCACTCCCCAAGGGCATCAGACTCTGTCTTGGATTTTCTACGCCAAACCACCACACCAGCACAACGCTGGGCACACAGGGACTTGCCACATCTGTAGTAAACAAAGGGGAGGATAAGACAGCATGTGATGCTGACCTGGAATGGGCAGTGGTCACTCCCCCAGGCTGAGGGCTGTGGGATCCCAGCCCCTGGGTTTCCTGCATGAGACTCAACGTGCTGAACAGAGATACCTGCTTGGGGAGGCCTTGTCATCTCGTGACATCCTGCCCTGCTGTACATCCTTCCAGCAGATGGGATCATACGGGGCGTGACAACAGGATGCTGAGAACGAGGAGGCCAGAAACCAATCTATCCTCCACAACTCATTAATACTAGAACTGTAGCAGAAAAGGAACTAAAAGCTATCTCATGTTTGTGTCAGGAACTCCAAGTGCCAAGTAAGCTGGCCCCACCAACAACATATCGCACCCCCCCCCCCCCGCCCCAGTCTGTGCTGGTAGAAATCTGGCCCAGGGACAGGGCATTCTGACCCCAGCTTGTCCTTTACAAAGCAGAGAAGTGGGCTCAGAAAGGCAGTCATAGTCTTATCTAGCTTATCTAGTCAGCATTTTAAAAGATTTCCAGTCTTGAAAGCACAATCTGCTGTTTAAATATCAGCCTACCTGAACATTTAATTACCTAGAAAATCCCCATTCTTAAAATGTTCAGGGAACTTCAGCCTGCCCCCCCAAAAACAAAGACAGACTCTACACCCCATGTGCTCTCAGACCATTTCACAAACTTGCCATGGAAGGAGCGGCCAGCTGGGGTGGGCAGGCTCGCCCCGCTGCATGGGTCTCTTCCTCAGGGCCTTTTCCCATTGCTCCTGCCTGGCGCCTGCCAGGCCTCACGTCGGCCCAGCCACTGTATCAAGACGTAATTGACTGAATGCCTCAGACCAGTCCAGGCTCTGCTGAGCCCATCAGGGCAGGAACAATGAGGTGGCAGCTCAAAGGAGCAGGCTATTTCTAAGGCGCATGGTTGATGGACTGCACTCTCTGTGATTATCATTTTAATTGCAAAGCCACTGCGACCTTATTTTCTGGGTGCAGATTTCAAAGACCACAAAGTACTCTGCAGGTATCAAAAGGGACCGCAGAAGGTCTGTGCTCCAGAGCCCATTGTGACATCTTCCTTTCTTGACCGCCACTTTGCAGGCAAGCCCTTACAGAAAGGAGAGATCTGATTTTCTGTTTCAAGGTCTCCCACAAATCCTTCCTCCTCTGGGACTGTCTGTACTCATCCCCATGTTCTGAAGCGCCGTCCCCCTCTCCCCCTCCCGTATAGCATTCCCTGGCTGCCCCGTCTCTCTGATCACACACACACACACACAATTCTGACATCTCTACTTGTGGCACTTTGGGACGTTAAAAACCCTTCACTCTCTTACAGGCCCAGAGAGACTCCCTCTTTGACAGGCAGGAAGCGAGACTAGACACGAGCGAGCCCTTCCAACATCAGAGCGCTTTGCACAGCAGCAGGAATTTTGCTCTCCTTTTTCTTCATGCTTTAGCCCATTTGTACAATTCATATTTGCAAAATATTTCCTCGGTTAAGTTCAGTTTCATAAGGTCTCCAAAGTAGAATATGCACAGCTTGTTATTTTACTTTTTAAAACAAACACTATAATTCATCTAAAGCCCATTTGACACTCATGGGATTCTTTCATTTATTTTTAAGATTTGTTAATTTATGCATACAAGAACTGGGGTACAGGCCAGAGGTGCAGGGGAGTGAGAGGATTCACCAGAGACAGAGTGGGGAGCAGAACAAGCAGATGGACAAAGTACACGGTTGAGGGGAGCAGCGGGCAGGTCAGGAGAGGTCTGCTGTGCCATGTGGGTCAGCTCTCAGGCCGGAGATCGAACTCATGTTTCAGTGGCTGCGGATAGCTTCATAGTGCCGCATGTTAACCCACTTCATCACCAGGGGCCCGATGCTCAGGGAATTCTTAATATATGTAAACACTTCCACTGCTGGGAACCCATCCTCACTTTCAACCTGGGTTCTGTGGCTTGATATACAATGACCAAAACCAAGAGCCCTATTTTTTTTTAAAGACAGGTGTATTGAGGGATAACATATAGGCTATAAATTCCCCGTAATGAGTGAATGGCTCTCTGTGTGTTTAAAAAAACACAGTTGCCACAGAGCTTCAAGAACTGTCAGTCCCAGCACATTGTCTCAGGACCCTTCATCTGACTTGTGACCTCTGTGTCATACACCCAGAAAGATGCCCTCTTACTCATCTTGGTCAGAGAAGGAGCTACCTGTCAATATGCTCTTGTGTGTCTGCTGTTGTTGAGGTGATGTTGGCTCACAACATGGTGCACGCTTTAGGACCTCCTCAAACGTGTCACCACTCCACCCCACCCTCCCCCGCCCTACGCTGGGCCTCATCCGGCCCCTCCTCCTCAGTAGCCTCAGTCCTACGTCAGAATCCAAGGGCTTGTGTTTGTTGTGTTGTTTTGTTTCTCTGTATTCCACACTTGAGCACAGTCATCTGGTATTTGTCTTTTTCCTTCTGACTTATTTTTCTTAGCATAATCCCCTCCAGTCCATCCTTATTGTAAATGACAAGATTTCACCTTTTTTTTTTAATAGCTGAGTAGTGCCCCACCATGTATATAGACCACATCATCCTAGTCCAAGCAGCTGTCACTGGGCACTGAGGTTGTCGCCTTATCTTGACTGTTATAGATAGGACTGTTATAAATAGCACTATAGGAGGATATACATATTTTTTAATTCATGTTCCAAAACAACTGACTTTTTATAGCAGCTCTATTGAGGGAACAAATCCAGAGTCAGAATAAAGTTTCCCTGTAGAGGCTGGTGTATTTCTGTGAGACCTCACTTGGTTGCGAGCCTGTGAGAAGTGGGGGGGTCATAACAACACCCACTTAGCTAGCCTTGAGGTTTGGCAATGTGCGATGAAGACTGATGGCACAAAATGCACTAGCCCTAATCCCAGGGCCCCATCCTTGAGTGGGACAGGTAGGCTGGCAGGAAGCACGGGCTTAAGCGAGTCAGGCACTTCTATGAGGGTAGGGACAGCGTCTTACCTACCTTGTGTCCCCAGCACTTAGCATAACACATACTAGCAACTGTTGTTGAGCAATGGAATGGTACTGTTAGGTCAGAGATGCAGGACCGTGTCCCCAGGGAAGGTTTCCCCATCACTCACAAGTATTTGAAGCCCATGGGAAGAACCCACCAAGAGGGGCACCATCCCTGCTCTCCGGGCCCCCTTCGCCCAGGTGACCTTAGCGTGTGCCTCCCTTCTCTGCCTGCAGAACTACTTCGAGAGCTACCTTGCCATCGCCTCCACCGTGCCCTCTGTGCTGTGCCTCGTGGCGAACTTCCTGCTTGTCAACAGGTAGGCCGCTCTCTCCTGCCCCGCCCCCAGTCTGGCTTCCCACTCCTCGCTCCTCCATCATTGCCACCTTCTGCTGCTTTAAATGTTGTCCAGCAGAGGCAGCGGAGATTCTTCCATGAAGACAGAAGTTACCCGGGATCTTGCCAACAGATGCCCTTTACGGAAGCTGGGCTTTCACTCTCCAGCCACAGGCTGTGTCAGTGGCCGGGGGCAGCTTTTCTCTTTCCCTCTCAGAGGAGTTTGTCAACAGAGACAAAGTGTACAGGTAGAAGTTCAGATAGACTCAAGGAGCACAGACCTTGCCGTCAGGTGCACGACGTGGATGTTAGGGCAGATCCAGGAAGCTTGTGGCAGCTGGTCACCCAGGCACTGCTGACAGCTGACAAGTGAAGGATCTGGCATCCCACAACTCTAGCTCTCACTGCCCAGGGCTTGGGCACCTCGCTGCCCAGTGCTAAGTGGTGGCATTTGGTCGGCCACTCACAGAGAAGACCCAAGAGGACCTTTAGACCCTGTCAATACAGAGCTAAGAGAGTATCCACTAATGTACCAGGGAAGAAGGAATGATTAAGAGACAACCAGGCAAATTACCACAGCCGTTTCACCAGTCTCCATTTGGATTTACCAGGGCAGCTGGTAAACTTTGCCTCCATTTCTGCAGACTGCCACCCACTAGGTGATAACAGAGGCTACATGATGATTCAGATCACTGATGGCAAATCTGTTTGCAAGGACTACTTGCATCTCGGGATCTCTTAGAATTTTTTTTTAAAAGGTGTATTTATGCATACAGAACTGGGGTACAGGCTAGAGGTGTAGAGGTGCAGGGGCAGTGAGAGGCTTCACCAGAGACAGAGTAGGGAGCCAAACAGGCAGACGGACAAAGTACACTGCTGAGGAGAGCAGCAGGTGGACAGGAGAGGTCTGCTGTGCCATGTGGGTCCGCTTCCAGACGAGTTCAAACTTGTGCTGCAGTGGCTGCGGATAGCTTCACGTTGCTGTGCTTTAACCCACTGTGCCACCAGCGAGGGCCCAGGGTTTCTTAGAGTTCTTAAACAGGATTCTAGGGGAATCTGGCCTCAGAGAGGGATGGATTAGTGATGTCTACTCTGAGTACAGGAGAGGGGACTGTCTACACATGTAGTTGTGTGTGCTGATCCTGAATAGCCCAAACATTATGCTGTGGGGCTGTTCCAGTTATCTGTTGTTGCATAAGAATAAGCCCAAAGCCTAGTGGCTAAAAGTGATGACTGTGGGAGGCTCCGCAGGCTCAGCTGGCAGCTTGGGATCCCTCGCCTGCCTGTAGCATGGCCTAACGTATTGGCCAAAAATAGAGGAATTTTCTAATCTGACTACAGAGCAACCGTTCAAAGAAAGCAAGGCAAAGCCACATGGATTTGTGACCCAATCTCCATAGACTTCAGTGTTCCTTCTGCCATGCTCAGCTGGTCAAGGCAGTCACAAAGCGCAATCAGTTTCAAGAGACCATAGACCCCTCTCTCCATGGAAGGAATGTCTAAGAACTTGCACCCTCCCGGGTGGCATAAGGGGTTAATTCTCAGAACTCTGAGCCTATGGACAGGCACTGTAGCCTGAGGGAGGTGGCCCGCCTGGCACAGCAGACCTCTCCTGTCTCACCTCTGCTCCCCTCAGCAGTGTACTTAAAGGATCTGTGTATTCTGCTCCCCACTGTCTCTGGTGAATCCATTCACCACCCCACCCAGCACCTGCCTCACACCCCAGTTCTTATATGTATAAATAAACAAAGTAAATAAATAAATATATAAAAGAAGTTGCACCCATCTTAAACCAAAGCACAGGCTAGAAGAACAAAGAGAATGATGGTCAGGTGGACCAAGAACTTCACAACCCCCATTAGAAGTTTTCTGGCTTCTAACCTGTCTTCTCAAGCACACAGAGCTACAGTCAGAGTCACCTCCAGAGACCCAGCCCTGAGGGAGGAGGAGGCAGAGGAATGCCCGAGGCAGGGCCAGGTGTGCCCTCCAGGCTGCCAGCCCTGAGAGGGGACTGGGTCTTGACAGTGACTCCAAGCTTAAAGGAGGAGGAGAGGAAGGTGACTCCAGAAGAGGGAGGAAGCTGGGTGCAGAGTCCTGGCGGTGGGCTCCCTCTGCTCCCCAGGCCTCTCTCCCTGCTGGCTGGCCCTGGGGTGGACGGTGTCCCACTGGTGTGGCCCCGGCTGGCACAGGAGAGCACTCAGCCTTCTAGAATTGGAGTCACTATCTAGACCAGAGCAAGGGCCAAGCACATGAAAGCTCCCCTTTGCCTGGGGGCTACCCTGCTGCAGGGTGACTCCTGGAGCCCCCTTGTTACACCTCTCAGGGCGCATGGCGACCAGGAAGGAAGTCATGGCTTTGCTCATTTTCCAGGTGGAAGTCAGGAGCTGTGCGCAAGCTCCCAGAGAGAGTAAGGGGTGACCAAACTTGCTTCTTATCTGGCACTGCCTGTTCTGTGGTGCTGGAGGTACAGCAGGCCGGAAGTCAGCCAGGTCTGGGGTCAGCAGCGGCAGAGGCAGCCCAGCCTCAGAGCCCTGGGAGAATAATCTCTACTGAGAGTGGTTAGCACTTCTGAGCACTACTCCTCCGATACTTCTCTCCTTTAATCTTCACCGCCACAACCTATAGGCAGGAAACCTATTACCCAGTTTTACAAATGGGAAACTAATCTCGCTGAGGTGACCTGCCCAAGAGCACATGGCCTTTAAAGGGGAGGAGGCAGGAACGTGACATTTGTGCCTGGAAGTGCCTTTTGGCTCATGCTTCCCTTGGGCGAAGCTTTTCCCTACTTTGCCCTGGCTTCAGGCTGAGAGAAGCTTTGAAGGAGGACAGACTACCTTGGGGGAGCAGGAGTGGATGGTTCTGGGGGCTCAGCATTACAGAGCATCCTTCAGGAGGGTCCAGCCACCCCCACTCCCTCACCCCCACCTGCCCTTTGTTTCTGCCTCCACAGGGAGAGATGAGGGCAACGTGAGAAAATGCTCCCAAGGCCTTTTCTGTTTCTAAGTTCTGCAAAGATGGTTTGGGGCTAAGCTGTTTTTTATTTAATGTGCGAAATTGAAACGTCTCCTTTTCTACCCCTCCTGGAGAACCATGGCTTTCTCTGACTGGCTCATCCATAATCGCCAAGTGTTTTATTATGTTAAATCTGGAGCATCATAAATACTTATGAGGAGGATTTACATTTTGGAGACTTAAGAAGAAATCTGTCCCCTGGGGTCCTGCTCCCTCACAAGCGAAGTAGTGAGGTACAGCTGGCAGCCCCCTCCTCGAATCTTCATTTTGGTGCACCCTGCCTTGGGGTCCCAGGGCTGGGACTGTCACCTCTGCCATCCCCTGTCCCAGAGTCACTGACAGCAGGCAACACTCACCTAGACTTTCCATGAGATTCTACCAGTGTCGCCATTGCTTAGGCCACTTTCCCTGCCATAGAGCAAGCCAACCCCCCACCCCCACCCCTTCACAGGCCTGTGGGGTGCTCATGCATGTGGTATGAGTATAAACATTGAAGATAGCTCCAGGCAAGATCTCCAAGGACCTGGAGCCCTGGGTTGAGGCTCCTTTAGAGACTGGGCTCAGCAGCAGGTAATTGGCAGGCCCACAGGGGAGGGACCCGATGGGGCAGAGCTGCAAACTGCATTGCCATTGTAATGCATCTGGTATTTACCACCTCCTCTCCTCTTCTCACTCTTCCCTCATTTCCACCCCGGGCACCTGGCCCACCTGTCCCCCAGCTCTCCCTAGACTAACCTTCCTGTTCAAGCAACTAATTACCTTCCATAACAGGCACTGGAGAGCCCCAGGGTGCTGGCAGCACTTAGGCTGGGCTGTTTCTGCACGGTGCCCTGAGTCGGTGACTAGGGGCAGAGGCCCATCCACACGGTAGCCTCAAAGCTGCAGATGCTTACAGCGGAGCCTGCCATGCTGAGGACAGGAGAGGGAGAGCAGTGGCAGGCTTTGGACCAGCTCAAAAGCTGTCCCCACTGCCGCTATCCTTGTGTCAGGTGCTAGCCAGCTCCTGTCTGGTCCAGCCCAGCCCTGGGGTTAGACCAGACGGGGCCCTCCCCTTGCAGAGTTCATAGCTCCCGAGTTTGGGGGATTTATTTTTGCCTTCATTTGCCCCAAGAAACTGTGAAAACTTGTGGGCATTTATCGCATCTTTCTCTTTACTTGAATTCCAAAGATTTAGAATTATAAACAAAGTCATCTGACCTTCTCCTTTGAGGTGAAGAAACTGAGGCTCAGAAAGGTTGAATTTTTGCCTGGGGTTACACAGTCCCTTGGTGGCAGAGTAGGGAACTCCCCACTTCGGATCCAGTCCTGGTGCGCTGGTAGACCTTTATCTTTGGGGTTAATGGGGCACTCGCATTACAGTAGATGGCCTGTGCTCCAGGGCCTGAGTGCCTCGGCTCCTGCCGCTGAGGGCCCTGCGGACCTTGTGGAGGTGCTTTCTCCTGCATGCTCTCAACAGGAGCTTCCCCAGAAGCATACTCTGTGATGGGATTCAAGTGAGCAGATTGGGGGGGAGGGGGCAGTGAGGGTAGGAGAGTGAGGAAGCGAGAAGGGAAGGCGTCTAGTGAGGGTGCCTTGCGAGTGGCTCCGGCAGAGGGTGACTGAACTGATCCTGCCAGGGAATTCTCAGAGCCAGTGTGGCACAGGAGCCCGAGGGGGTGGGAGCTGGGTGTTTAGCCACCCTCTGCCATCCCATCCCGTGCCCTGGGCGGTGTTCATCACCCGCCCTTGGGCAGGGCCCCACGTACACAGTGGGCTTTTCTGACCTTGTGCTCCCCAGCTCAGAATCCTGCTGTAGCTCTTTGTGTTGTTGGCATGCTTAGTAGTGAATGATGGAGGCGAAGGACTTTCTTATTCTGTACCTGGAAAGTTACCGTCAGCTCTGCGTCCTGCACTGCTGAGTCTCGGTGATTGCAGAACCCTCAGGGCTTTCCTCTTGTGTCTTAGGCTCTGCGTGCCTCTGCTGACTTTACCCCAAACACAGCCTCTCCAGGAGCTGGCAACCCGCAGCCCCTGCCACAGCTCCAGCAGAAGGCTTGCTTCCTGACCCGCAGCCCCCGGGCCCCACCTAACCACCAGCTAATCCCGAACCCAGCCCCCAGCCAGGGGTCCCAGACACTGATCATTCCAGGCTGGGTCTATGACCAGGTGGATAATATGGTGACTCCCTGCACAGAGGAGGAGCCTTCTCCCAGGAGATGGGGTCTGGGGAGAGGAAACTACACCCTCACGCCACACCCCACTCTGAGGCTCAGCCCTGGCACTTAGCAGTGGACAAAGCCCTCCACAGGTGAGTGCTCACCTCGCACGCCCGCTTAGGTGTCTCCTCCAAAAGCCTCGCGATGCCCGGGGTGGGTTTGTGGCCTGGGGTGTGCCGAGTTGGCCTGCGACCCTCCCGCGGAGAACTTCGTCCACTTGATTGAAATACCTGAATCTGCTCCGTGCTCTGTGCCAGCGTCCAGCACAGCCCCCGCACACTGGTCACCCAGTCCAGGTTGTGGACTTTACAAAGGTCCTTAGTAAGGGGCAGCAGCACCTGCTCTCCCTCCCTGGGGGATGGGAAGGAGATTGAGATTAGCCTGGGGCCACAAGAAGCCTTGGAAAAAATCCTGTCTTGCTTTTCATGCTCATCATTTCACACATATTTATGTACATATGTATTTTTCTGCCTTTCAAGGCTGTCCCTTTTTTGTTCACCCCTCTCCCCCAAATTGCTATACCTAATCTGACTTTTCTCCCAGTCCCCTTTTACTGATTAGCAGAAACATTAACTAAATATCCAATCTGGTTGAGAGCTTAGTCTAATCTGATGATTTAAACAGCCCCTCTGGATGATGTGCTCTCTCCCTAGAATAAAAATGTGCAGTTTCTCAGAGCCTCCTCTCTGCCCCACCAAGGTGGTGGCTGGGGCTCATGGGGAGGGGCTGGGAGGAGCGTGGGTTTACAAGCAGGTGTGAGCTGGCCCTGGGCCACACTCCCTGGCCTCAGCCTCTGCCCAACGCCACCCTCACAGGAGAGGCCTGCCCTGGCCATCTGTGCCTGGCTACCTGTGTTTCCTTCATTCTCAGGGAGGTAAGAGACTGTCATTCTGAGTGTGCAAACCAGAGCCAGGCCTCCTGGGGCCCTAGACCCGTGACCTTGAACAAGCCCTTAGCCTCTCTGTCCCCAGTTTCCCTATCTGCCTGTGTGGGTTAGGCGAGAGTGTGAGATCAAGGAGCGGGCATATGAAAAAACCTGGAAGAGTACCTGGCAAAAATCAAGTACTACCTGAGTGTTAACTGTGACGATGAGGATTTTGTAGTTCCTTCTTCCTCACCCCCCTGCTAAGTTTTAGGGGAAGGAAGCCCAGTGGATGGTTCCTCTCTTTAAACACTAGACAAAGTCAGCAGGAGCCGAGCCCCATGGCAGGAGGAGCCGGGGGCTTGCCTGCAAGTGCCCAAGTCCTGTCTGAACCTCACTGCAAAGTGAAAAGTGGCATCTGCTGAGCATTTGCCCTGCGCTGGCCCTGCTCTCTGCACTCTGCACACCCCCGTGACCCTCACCTCAGCCCTCAAAGTAAAGCATCTGTTGTACAGATGGAGAAGCTGAGACCAGAGCACCTGAGTCACTTACACAAGGCCTCACAGCTCGTGAGCCAGGAAGGCAGGGCTCAGAGCCAGGCCTCCTGATGCAGAGTGGACCGTCCCGACCACTGAGCACACCTCTTCCCTCAAGACTGTTCCCCAACCCTAGATCCCCGAGCCGCCACAGAGAGGCCTGAGTTTGCTTTGACGTCCTTGCCCTAGGGTTCCCGTTCATGTCCGTGTATTGGTCTCGCTGACCGTCATGCTGACCATCTTCGTGGTGATGACCGTGCTGGTGAAAATGGATACCTCCTCCTGGACCCGAGGCTTCTTTGTCGTCACCATCGTCTGCATGGTGATCATCAGTGGTACCGCCACCGTCTTCAACAGCAGTGTCTTCGGAATGACGGGTTCCTTCCCTATGAGGAATTCCCAGGCTCTGATATCAGGTGAGAGCTGGGATAAAACGGGTGGCCGGTGGGTTGGCCCACTGGCGTGTGGTACAGAGGAGCCAGAGATGAACAGGTGATGGTTCTACTGGGAAAGGAAATGAGTGCTAAGTATGTCTCCGTTTTCTATTACAACCCTAACAATGCACCCCAAACTCAGTGGTGTGGGATAATAACAGTCAATTCTTTGTATCACAGATCTGCAATTAGGCTGCATAGGTGCTGGGATCTCAAAGATGAGTAAGACCCCAGCCTCCTAGAGCTGATAGCCTAGAAATCAGCCCACTACCTTGAGCCTTGACCTTCCATGGAGTACTGACAGGTGACTTAGACCCGTCCTGTAGGTTGAAATTTTGATGCCAGTCCTCCACCTGTTACCTGAACTTCAGCAGTTTTGTTCTCTCACTCAGATGTCCCAGCAAGGTCAAGCGGAGCTGGGTCAGCAGGACTCTGTGCCTTCCCAGCAGACCACCATCCCTTAAAGCAAGGCTGGAGGCCCAGCTGCCCTGTTGGCTTCTCCACACAGCCCTGTCGCATGAAGAAGTGCTCGGAGCGTTTGCCCACTTGAGGGAGTTTCGCAAAGCATCTGCTCTGTGCCTATTAATTAATAATGCCAGGTAGTACGCGCTGGGGATAGCAAATATCTTGACCAGTATCTGTCTGCGCCCCACTCCCACAAAGCGCCAGACACCATTGATAGATCTGTGTCTTTCCTCTTGAGCCTCTGAATCCTTCGTAACACAGCCTGGAGCGCTTATTGTCATGGACCAGAATTCAGAGATGAACTCCAATCTGTTTGCCATTTTTTATATAAATTAGGCTTCTGTCTCTATCCTGGGAACCCTTGGACCTAAAATTAAAAAAAAAAAAAAATTCAGATTGCCTGTATTCCCTGGCAGTAGTTCAAGAATGGAGTGCTGAGGCCAAATGACCCTAGCATCAGAGTCGTCCTTCCCTTCACCGCTCGCAGAGAGAAGCCATGACCCCTGCACCTGCTCCACCCTGTTGGGGCAGCTTCTTTTCAAGGCAGCAGCAGCCTTGCCGGCCACCTCTCCAGGAACCTGAGACCCAATGCCATTTCCATTGGCAAGTGGCCCTTCGGTTCATCTGGCCACCTTAGGGTCTTCTAGAAAAAGGAACTACCCTGGAAATTGTCCATTTCTGAAATAGAGGAGAAATCTAGTACTTAGGGTAAAGTCCTAACTACCCTGAGCCCCAAGCCGTGGTCATCACTGTGTGTGGCCCCCAGTGGGTGCCCATCACGCTGGAAAACCAGAGGCCCCAGTGCCCCCTCAGCAACCCCTGTTAGGTTTGGGCCCAGAGGAGCCCATCTGTGAATTCTGTGTGTGTTGGCATCTGAGGAACAATTCATTTGTTTTGTACTAGTGTTTTTTTAAATCCCTCATTTACATGAATTTCCATAACTGATGAGATAAAAGTAGGGAAGTCATGAAGGATGAGCTCCCCGAGGCCTGGTTTGTTGTTGATGATAATATTGTAAATTCTCTACAAGTTGGTGAGAGAGAGAGGAAAATCAATAGGCAGTGATGTTAAGATCTCTTCCTCAGGGCAGCCGGGATCTTCTTAGCGAGTTTAACCCCACTTCTTACAAAACACCCAGGTGGGGATTACAGCTCCTCAGAAGTTGGCACCTTCTTAGGAAAGGGTTTGCCCTGTTGTTGCTGCTTTGATGTGGGAAGGACAGAAATAGCCAGACCTTAATAGGAATCAGAGAGGATTTATATGGCACTTCTCTGTGCCAGGCGCTGTTCTGAGTACTTCACTTGTAATAATCCTTTTAATCTTCATAACAATCCCGAGAGCTGGGTGTTACTAACATCTTCATTTTACAGATAAGGAAACAGGCACAGAGAGCTCAAGTGACTTGCCAAAAATCACACAGCTAGAAGTGATAGCGCCTGGATTGGACCCAGAAGTTCTGGTTCTTGGTTCTGTGCTCTTAATCTCAGTGCTAATTCTTTCCTTCCTTGTCTCAGATCCCCACTTCGGGCCCCACCCAGGCTAATAGAGAAGGCCAGGGAGGACTGTCCATCAGAACCATGGGCTGTTCCCTGCAGAGGCACAGAGATAGTATTGAGAATGTGGGTGGACAGTGGTGATGGGCATCATGGTAGTGCCCATCTCCCACTTCAGGTCTGCAGCAGCAGGCAGAAAAGTAGCATGCTGGCAGAGCTAGCTGTCGGTGACAAAGCAGTGTGTGGCTAGCTGACCAGGCTGCTGTTTGCAGTCAGCCTTGTCTTTTTGAGGACCCACACCTAGTCCTCTGGGGTGAGCAGATCCATTCCTTCAGCCAGGCAGCCCCACATACTCACGGGCACTACTGTGTTGGTAATGGTAAAGAGGGCCCTGCCACATGCTCCCCACTGTCTGCGTTCACTGTCCCAACTCTACCTCATCACCACCTCTTGTTGGGACAGGACCTGCTTATGCATATAACACGGCAGCCTGACTCTTGGCCAGCTCCAGGTGACCGTGCACCATTGAGAGAGGTCAACAGAAAAGGCAGATCCCTGCTAGAAGTAACTGTGTGACAGAGGGAGACTGCCTGTGTTGAAAGGGCCCATGTGCAGGGCCCTTTCCCAGCTTCATCCAGTCAGTCGCAGAGTAGTATACTAAGCAGGGTCATCACCCCCATTTCACAGATGAGCAGACCATGGTTCCAGAAAGTCACATCAGCCTCAGTGTCTCAGTGAGCAAGTGGCAGGGTCATGCTTAGGTGGTCCTGCCTGGCCCCAAACCCACAGCTTCCTAGGTTGTGGTGCCCGTGAAGTGAGTGGCATATGGTCACAGGGTCCCATGTGAAAGCCCTGGGCAAGAGAGAACATTCCATGTGGTCAGGCAGTTGTGTGTGTGTGTGTGTGTGTGTGTGAGAGAGAGAGAGAGAGAGAGAGGAGAGAGAATATATGCTAGTGTACGTGTGAGTGTTTGAGCGTGTGTGTGACTGAGTGTACGTGTCAGTATACGAGTGTGTATGTGTGACTGAGAGCGAGTGAACGTGATTGTGCGTGAGTGAGTGAGCCACTCTTGAGCGCCTGCACGTGACTGAGCATGTGTGAGCATGTGTATATGTGGTAGGGTGCAGGGCGTGCCTGAGTGTGCAGCCCTCTGCTGGAGTTTGTGTGAGAGCGAGTGTGCACATTTGCCCACGAGTAGGTGCTGCAGATGCGAAGGCCATCTGTGGGCTGTGGTAGCTGTGTCACCATTGGGGCACCCAGTCAGATGGCCCCTGTGAGGTCGTGGGCGCCCGGGCTGGGACACTGCCTGAGTCTCTCCCAGTTTGGTTGTTGGCGCTCTCTGAGCTGTGCCGACCTTGAATCTAGCACTGCAGACCCCACCACAAGGGCACTAGAGATGGATGGTCAGGAGTCAGGGGTGCACACAGTAAGCAGGTTGGTGGGGCCTCCTCGAGGCTGCCTGCGCCCTTACTCACACCTGACCCTGAGGCAGAAGCTGGCTGCTGCAGAACCCCGTGTCTGCCAGGCTCCCAGCTATGGCCAGAAAGGCCGCATTTTTCTCAGCAGGGAGAATTGTTCTTTTGCTTCTGTTAACCTCAGTGTGGGGGCGGGGGCTCTTGAGGCACAGAGAAGGGGGGCCCCTGACTGTGTCTGTGGCGTCATCTCTTCTCGTCAGGAGGAGCCATGGGAGGGACCATCAGTGCAGTGGCCGCACTGGTGGACCTGGCGGCGTCCAGTGATGTGACGAACAGCGCCCTGGCCTTCTTCCTCACAGCAGATGTCTTCCTGGGGCTCTGCATTGGGCTCTACCTGCTGCTGCCCCGGCTGGAGTACGCCAGGTGAGGCCCCACTCGCGCTCAGCGCACTCTTCATGCTCCTCTGCGTCTTCGTGTAAGCTGTCGCATTCTTCTGCATTTGCTTAGATGCAGATCTGTCTCCTCCTCTACTGTCCTCCCCCTTGGGTCTGAGCACCCTCAGGGCAGACACTGTGGATTTTTGCTCTGCACTGTATCCTGGTGTCTCAGTCTGTCCTGCCCCTAGTAGTTGCTCAGTAAACTGGCCCGGCTCGTGGGCTCTGTGCAGCACCCCAGCAGCTGGAGCCTGCAGCTTTCCCTGTGGGGAGAGCAGACGTAAGGAGTGGGACCTGAGGAGTGAGGATGCTGAGCAGAAGCACGCTCTGCTGAGCCCTCTGCTGCTCCTGCTTTGCGCGGAGCCTGGCGCATGGGTCACCCCTACTCCCCCGCCGCCTGTGGAGAGTGCTGCCCTGCGAGTCATGGCGTGTATCCCCAGTCACGCGCAAGACCTGGGCACAGCGAGGCTGAGTGGCATCCGCGAGCCTCACGGCCACTGGCGGCAGAATCAAGATTTGAACCCAACTCCAAACCCGCATTTCAGTCCGTGTCTTGAGACCCCTCCCCACCTGAGGGCCTCTTTCCTTGCTTTCTCTCTTTCTTTTCTCCTTTTTCTGTCTTGCTTCCTGCCCATTCTTTTATAACAGCTTTCATTTTGGCTTATGATTTATTTTACTCTTCTGAAGTTATTTTTGTACCTACTATCTTATTTCTTTTTTCTTTAAAGATTTATTTATTTATGCATACAGAACTGGGGTAGAAGCCAGAGGCACAGGGGTGGTGAGAGGATTCACCAGAGACAGAGCGGGGAGCAGAACTGGCAGACGGACTGAAGTTCACTGCTGAGGGGAGCAGCGGGCTGGTCAGGAGGGGTCTGCCGCGCCGTGTGGGTCAGCTGCAGGGCCAGGAATTGAACTCTCCAAAGCTGCTGCTGTGACTGGTGCTGCTTTAACCCGTGGAGCCACCAGGGAGGGCACTATCTTGTTTAACATAAGAAAGGCAGGCATTATTTTCCCCACTTCCCCAGGGAAGCATCAGAGGCAGAGAAGGGCCCCACAGGGTGTGAGCCAGCAGAGCTGGGGTCAGGTGCTGCCTTGTGCTTTGCCACAGGAACTATTTTGGGTAGTGGCACTGAACTAAGCAGTAATACATATGCATGCTTTGCATTTTTTGTGATACTTTGTGCAGTCACGACTGTATTTTTTGATTTTGCAAGTGAAGCAACCAAGGCTTCAGAGGACACATGCCCAGGTGCTCACTTGGCTGGTCACAGGCCACAGCGCTGTCTTCAGGGCTGCCATCTTGCCATTTTGTAGCGCAGCCTGTGTTTCCTCAACACTCACGCCTTCACCCCCATCTCTGTAAGGAGAGTCGCCTCATGGTGTTCAGAGCCTCTGCCTTCAGTGGACATCTGTCCCACCTGGCAGGTGCTTCCCCCAGTTCAATGACTATTGTAGCCTCAGCTGGCCTCAATGGCTCCACGAAGATAAAAGGGGACTGATTTTGACCTGATGTCTCCCCTTTCCCAGGCAGCTGCAGACCCGTGAGCCTGCCCACCCCCCATCCTACCCCTTCAGGGCCCTTACCAAAAATTGCCCACCTGGGCTCCATGATGATGTTTCTATGATTCCTGGGCTCTCCCCAATACCCCATACACTGACACTCTGTCACTGCTTATTAAATTATTTCTGAGTCACTAAATAAATTGAAAGGCAGAAGCTTCCCACCACTCCTGCTGTCTCCCCGGTTCTGTTGCAGAGTTTCATCTGCTGTTTCCCAAAGAGTGGCCCACTTCCCTGTTTCCTGGGACTGTAAGGCTTCCAAGAATGGGGCTGTCGGCCCGTCCTGTGGTGTAACAGCTTAAAGCACGGCACTGGGAAGCTGTCCACAGCCACAGCAGCATGAGTTCTACCCCCAGCCAGGGAGCTGACCCACATGGCGTGGCAGACCTCTCCTTCCTGACCCACCTGCAGCTCCTCTCACCAGTGTATTTCAGTCAGCCCACCTGTTCTGTTCCCCAGTCTCTGGTGAATCCTCTCACATCCCCCATACCTCTGGCCTGTACCCCAGTTCTGTATGCATAAATAAATAAATCTTAAAAAAAAAAAAAAAGGAATGGGGCTGTTGGTGCTAAAGCCAGCACAGTCTTGGGTGACCAGCACAGCTGGTCACCTTGGTTTCCAGCCTCAGTTGGGCTGGCCAGAAGCCTTTCCAGCCAAGCATGGAGATAGCACCCAGGGCTGTGTCTCTCTTTCTTTGCAGATTTAAGCTTGGTCAAGACTTCTGGGTTTATAGAAACTCCTGAGGAGCTGTGCTCCTGAGGCAGCTCGGGCTGAACCTTATCCAAGGGAGCCCACAAGTGCTGTACCCAGGAGGGCTGACCTGGACTCGTACAGTGTTGGATGCTGCTGACTGTGATAGGGACTGCGAGCCAAGGGTGAGCGGAGACAGTTGGATTTGGAAGGAGTTATGAGGAAGAGCTGTGACCACAGGAAATTGGCGGGGAGTTTTCTCAGAGCAGACTTCAGCCAAGGATCTGGTGCTAAGCAGAGGAGGAAGTAAGAATATTCCTTTCTTTAGTGATTGTGAAACAAGACAGGCTCAAGATCAAAGTGCTCTGCTCAGTGTTATTTTGAAGAGTAATTCTGGGAGGAATCCTTCCATAGACTTCTTGCTATCTGCAGACATCTAGGTTGGCATGGCTGGCAGGGCTCTCAAAGCTCACAGCTGTGGAGCCCCTTGCATTTTATAGAGGAGGAAACTGAGGCCCAGAATGGGATTACCTGGCCCAGGTGATACAAGAGGCAGAAGTGGGGCTGAACCAGAACCCCATTATTCGCCCACCCCCATACCAAGCTTTATATTTCAGGTCTGTTAGTATAGTCAGCCTCTGTCTCTTGGTGTACAGACACCTGAGATCCAGGGACACTAGGTGACTCAGGCAAGGTTACACTACCAGGCGAAATGATCTGAACCTTTGTACTGGTTAGAGCAGCAAGAATGACAGAGGTTGATAATAATCAGTGTTGAGGGTAGGGAGGTGAAGACCCTTTCGTGGGCTAGCTGTACCTCCAACAATTGCACTTTGAAGGACTCTTCTGTGCCAGGAGGTTTAGCTAGAAGCAACCAAACATGGTCCTTGCTCCAGGGAGCTGCTGCTGTTGAAGTAAAGAGATGATAAGCCAAGAACTAATGCAGAGACTATAAATTATGGTCAGTTGTTTTTGTTTTTGTTTTTAAGAAACAGGTGTTCTCATAGAGATTAAAAAAGACAGGTTGCCTTAGTTAGAGTGGGTAGATAGCACAGGGCAGAGATAAATCGCTTCTACTTATTTGGAGAGTAGTTTATCAGTATCTTTCAAAATGTTTAAGATATAAACTTTTTGATTCAGTACTTTCTTTTCTAGAAATCTGTCCAACTGATATTCTGATAATAGTGTGCAAAGATTTATACATAGTGATACTCATTGCAATATTACTTTAAGTAGACAGAAATTGAAGCTAAGGTAAATGTCCATAGATAGGGGCACAGAGTGAAATACTATGCAGCAAGTAACAAGCGAGAAAGAGTCCTGTGTCCTTGTATGAGAAGGCCACAAGATATTATTCTTGGGCAATTGTGCACATGTAGTAATGTATATTATGTGTACATTTAGGCAGTTATTTATATATTTAGGAATTATACTGTTGAGGAACATTTACAATAGGTATAGTTGATTTTTATTTTTGCCTCAGAGACATAACTCTGCATATGTGTGCATGTGTGCATGGTATTTGCACATGTATGGAACAATATCCACCAGATTTTTGAGTTCAGTGCCCCTAAGTAACTAAAGGTAAGAGGTAAGTGTTCTCATTCTACTATAGCATTTCTCTTCTGTATTAGCTTAGGTTTATGCTGTCAAGCACTTTTCACCTTTATCATTTAAAAACTTTATATTTGAGAATCTATTTTAACTCCACCTCCTCTCCAAAGCAAAACAAAGACAAGAGAGAGGGGCCGGAGCCCAAGCTCGCTGTGTGGGTCAGTGCAGTTTCCTCTTCCCTGTGGTGGCACAGCCGCCAGCACAGAACAACACACTGGCATCCAGCCTTCGGGCAGTGCCAAGACAGGCAGGCCAAGGGCTGTCCAGGCTTCCCTCTGGCCTCCTGCCCACACATATGTCATCTAAGGGCGTCCAGGGCTGCGGGCCAGATGGGGCTTAGTCTACCTGCTAGATCTGAAGGTTCGCCTCCCCACACCTTAACCCTGGAGATGCCAAGTGACTGTTTCCCAGACCCTCTAACCAGCTGCCCTCTCTCCCCCAAAGGTACTACATGAGACCTATAAAGCCAGCCCATGTGTTTTCCAATCAAGAGCAGCTGCCCCAAGACTCTCCCGACACCCCGTTGTTGGCTTCCAGATCCAGTAACTCCCCAACACCCCCCCTCCGCCTCATCCTGAAGAAGACGGTCGGCCTGGGCTTCTGCATCATCTACCTCTTCTTCATCACCAGCCTCATCTTCCCTGCCCTCTCCACCAACATCGAGTCCCTCAACAAGGACTCAGGCTCGCTGTGGACCACCAAGTTCTTCGTGCCCCTCACCACCTTCCTCTTGTACAACTTTGCTGACCTGTGCGGCAGGCAGGTCACAGCCTGGATCCAGGTGCCAGGGCCCAAAAGTAAGGTGCTTCCTGGGACGGTGCTCCTCCGAACCTGCCTGGTCCCCCTCTTCATGTTCTGCAACTACCAGCCCCGCGTCCACATACAGGCAGTTGTCTTCCGGTCCGACGTCTACCCAGCGCTCTTCACCTCCCTCCTGGGGCTCAGCCACGGCTACCTCAGCACCCTCGCTCTCATCTATGGCCCTAAGATTGTGTCCCGGGAGCTGGCCGAGGCCACGGGCGTGGTGATGTCCTTTTACATGTACTTGGGCTTGGTGCTGGGCTCAGCCGGCTCTGCCCTGCTGGTGCACCTCATCTAGGAGGGAAGCTGACAAGGACAACTGTCTGCAGGGGGTGTGGGAGCCTCAGCAGCAAGGCTGGGTGTGGAGAGCACCCTCAGGCCTGGCCTCTCCCCAGGGGCTGGTGACCATACCTCTGTCTCCATGCCAGGCTCAGACGTTGCAGACACTGTAACAGAACCAGAAATGTGTGCAGACCATAACACACTGGAATAAGACAGTTACAACAGTGACCCAGTGAGAAGGAGTGGGGGTGGGGGGGATGGAGGCCCCTGACTAACTGGTTAACACTGCTTCTGTACAGCCTCTTTGGAAAGTTTACAGTGTTGCTCTGAGTTGTTACAAGCAAGTGCCAAAACCCAGCTCAGGCCTGTGCCTTCTCCCAGCCTTGCTCCTTCCGCTGATAGCAGGATGTGAGGGTTCTCAGCGCGCCCATCCTTAGAAGGTCCCCTGGAATGGAAACTGCCCTGGCCCAAGACTGCAGCCTGCGCCAACCTCTGCTTTCTGTGGGTGAGCACCTGGCCCCCCAGATTAGAACCTCGAGGACAAGCTTTCCGGAAACCCTTCATTCCTTAAACCTGGCCCAAGAGGGTCTGTGACTGTTACTAGGGAGGCTGCCAGGGCTGTGCCCAACAAGGATCCTTAGGTGGTCTGCAGCCTGGATCAGGTGGGGCTTTTAATGTCCACGTTTACAACATGCCGCGGCCATTGGTTCCTGGGCATAATAAACATGAAAGCCTTGCTGGTATATGTATTAGGGTCTTGGCTGGAAATGGTTTCATCAAATTGGGTAATTTGAGGATAATTGAAAAGTGGGTGTTGGAACCCTGGGGGGGCATGCATTCTTTTGCAGAAATAGTAATATTGTGATCATTCTTCCGCAGGCCTGAAGGGACCAGGGGCACATCCAGCCTGCATAAGCACAGGAGGTTTGTTCCCTTCTTCCTCCCTCTCACAGTCAAGAGCAGGTGGGGAGGGTGGAGAAGACAAGAAGGTGGAGCTGTGGAGCAGGGCTGCCAGCCCTCACGTCCAGGGTGTTTGTGATGAACTGGCAGGCTCTGAAGCAATGCCTACAAGTCGGTGTCAGCCCGTGCTGGGTTGTTTTGGGCAGTGGTGTATTTTGAAGCTGATGTTTCAGAAGGTGAGCCTCAGCTCTGTGGCCCCCACTTGACGTGATTAGTAATGTATACATTTTCAGGTTGCTTCATGGCTTCTGCAAGCTTTTTCTTGGGGGAGCAAGGTGGCTTAGGGCTCAGAGAAAAAGAGCAACTAGACCAGACTAGGTGTTCTTCTCTAGAGTCGTGCAGGAAGAACAGAACTTGCCCCCCAGAAGTGGCAACCCGAGAGCCATAAATCAAACCATTCCTCTGATGCACACGGGCCCCACAGGTCCTGCAGGCAGCTGATTAAGCCAGTAATCCAGCCGGTGGCAGTAGCTTATGTCCCCTGCTGTCACAGTACACACTCCCGCTTTGGCCAGAGATTGAAGGGACACCTTTGAAAGGTATCCTGAAACTTAATACAGAGAGAGAGAGAAAGGGATGGATGGATGGTTGGATGGATGGATAGAGAGAGTGAGTGAGAGAGAGAAAGATACTTCCCTGCCCTGCCCCTTGCAGGGACCTGAAATCTCCCCCTTGGTTTTCTCACCAACTTTAACGCCATCTGACATTCAGGGCACTGGTCTCATCGGTGACTCATCACAGCCTCAGGTGTTTTACAAATGAGAAGCATGTCTGTTTTACAGAAAAATGGCAGCCTCTGAGCGCAGGGATGGAGACCACCCCAGAGCTAATGGAGGCTTCATAAGTGCCTCCCACGCTCGTTTGGTTGAGGAGGGAGCGCTTTCAGAAGAGGTGTCCTTGTGAGTGCATTGGAAATTAGCCTGTGGGGCTAGAAAGGCCAGGACAGCCACTGCTCAGGGAGCTGAGGAGACCTCCCAGTGCCAGCCTTAGTTAGGAGGGGCTGACTGCATAGTCGCACGGGGATTATGGACGATTCTATTCACTATTCTTTGTTGCTCAATTTCACAAATGACCACATCTCCCAGGAAGGGAGAAAGGAAAAAAAATCCTCTCCAAGCAGAGGTGTGGACGGTACAGCTCAGGCATCCTTGTCCCGGGCCACTGTACAGCAACTCAGTCTGCTCTAGCTGTCCGGGCCCCTGTGACTCTAGTAGGGCTGTGGAACTAGCCCGTGTGTTTTGGGGAGTTAACAAGCGTGCTAAAGGGAAGGGGATTTGTGCAGAGAAGTTGCCCACAGTGGTAGTGCTGTGATTTAATGCAAAGGGGCACTTTTTAGTACACAACCTTGTATCTTTCCAGATCATACACATTTTCATCTCCCTCCTGTATTCGGCAAAGCTATATTCTGAGCGCCAAGTTAGTTGACTCTTCAACCAGTAGGTGACAGGTACTTGCCAGAAAACGCCCATTCCTAGCACATGTGAATATGAGAGGACTGAGCCCGGGCTGGGTATTATCAGCAGAGACCGCCATTCTGCTGTCTTCAACCCAGTGCTCCCCAGAAAAGATCTGGGGCTTCCTAGTCAGCCTGGATGTGATGTGGGAGGAGGTCACTTCAGGGCCCGTGCTTCTGAGACCATGTAGTGCTTTTAAAGATAACTGGTAGTAGAAGAGAGAGGGCCAAAATCGGCTGAGCGATTATAACAGAGGAGGTTCAATGCACAGCCCCTGCTTATCTCAACCCATGGGGCTTCTCAGTGAAAATGCCTGTATCTTTCTCCATTGTCAGTTCCTAAGTGCATTGTCAGTACCCGTTTTGCCCGAGTCAGCGCTGCCCTCCACCCACTGATGGAGGTCAACGCAGTTCCCAGCCTCGCTTTGGCCCTGGCAGAATCCCAGAAAGAATTTCAGCCTCTTTGGAAAGTGGAGGCTGGAAATGGTCATGTGACCACAGACCCAGGCCCCAGGGCAGCCTCTGCACCAACTGCCTAGACTCCTGGCCCACTGCTTGCCCTGTGCCAGGTACTTTACTGCACTGTTGCCCCATCTGTAGGTGAACACAGTGAGGCTCAGAGATCCGGTAACTTACCCAAGGTCGCTCAGTTATTTAGCCGTCCAGACAAGGATCAAATCGAGGTCTTCCTAACGCAGAGGCCCTTGCCCACCCTGGCCCTCTGGCTCTCTTGGCTGAAATTTGACTTTCTTCTAGGCTCCTGACACCTGTTGACCCTATTCCTCATTCCATGGCCTGGTTGGGTATAGTGCAGGGAGGGCATATTGCCCAGAACCCTGGCACTGGCCTTGACTCGAGGCGATCAGACCAGGGCAGCTAGACCGGGCCCTGTGCATCCTGGCCCTGGGTCCACGGCCCACCCCTTGTCAGGGACTAGATCTTAGGCTGCTTCTAGTTCCTGCCCTGTCCAGTCTCCAGCCCCTGCCCTTCTGGTCCCACGTACCATCCTCTCCCACACCTGCTCCTATCCCCAGTCACCCCTGTGTGGCTGCTGCTGCCAGACCTGTCTTGGACTGTAGGCTGTGGGAAGCTGCAGTGTAAAGGTGGGGAGGCCTTGCTGCCAGCCTCCTGGGCACTGGCGATTTGAGGCACGCAGCCTCCCGGAGCCCATTTCCTCGTTAAAGGGGGCCATCAAGGCCCTCCCTGGTGGCGCAGCGGGTTAAAGCACAGCACTGAGAAGCTAAGGCCACTTCCACATGAGTTCGATTCCCACCTGCCCCGGAGGTGACCACATGGCGTGGCAGACCTCTCCTGACCCGCCCGCTGCTCCCCTCAGCAGTGTACTTCGTCGATCTGCCTGTTCTGCTCCCCACTCTGTCTCTGGTGAAGCCTCTCACCGTCCCTGAGCCTCTGGCCTGTATCCCAGTTCTGTATGAACAAATAAATAAATCTTTAAAAAAAAAAAGGGAGGGGGCATCAAAGTCTCAGAGTTGTGACTAGCTGGCTGGTGACCCAGACTTTACCACACAGTCAGCACCTGTTCCCCAGCCTACACAGGGCTCGTGAGCTATGTGGCAGCGTGACTCAAAGGCACAGGGATCCCCTCGCCTCCTACCCGTGTCTCAGCTACTCTGGAGGTGGGAAAGCAGCCTCAGCCTGAGAGACGACCTCGACTTCAGGCCCCTGTGGGCATGACCCCAAAAGAGAGTCATGAAGACAGTGTCCCTGCCCCACAGGACTCTGGCAGCTGACTCACTGGCCCAGTCACCCTCAAGCCCAGTTCCTGTCCTGCACGGGAGGAACATTAGAGCAGCTCTGCGCCCACAGAGGGAGGTGAAAATTGCTGCTCACATAGCAGTTTTCTTTTTTAAAGGGAAGGAAGAGAAGAGGAAGGAAGGGAAAAGGGGGTAGTGGGATTCTGCAGTGTGGGCCCTCCCTGCTCCCCATAGCTCTGGGACGCAGGCTTGTTCAGTGAATGGGAGCAAGGAGGGACTGGTGAAGTCTCCCACTAAGTGGAGCGCTCCGTGGAGAGTCCACTGTCGTCACGGGGCTGACTTCCAGGCGCAGGTGTTTGCCTTCTTCTTGCCTCAGCTGCCTGAGGCAACGGGGGGTTGCTTCACACAGGAGGACATACTACCTCTCACCGAGGCAGGGCAGGTGCCTTTAGCCAACGATTTGGGGTGATGAGGCACCCCAGCCCACAGACGAGGGGGAAAAGGTGGGGTCTGCCACCTGCGGTAGGTCAGGACTTCACCTCACCATGTTTGAGGAGCAGGGCAGGTGAGGCTATCAAATAATGGCACCTTTGCCTACAGAGAAGGGGGCACTGATCACCTAGCAAGTGACTCTGGAAAGGAACGTGGCCCCTGCGCCTCCCTTCAGAGAAGCTGGAAATAAACTTTGTGGGCCCACCGCACTGAGAACCAGCCAGTCACAGGACACAGGGCGCTGGAGGTGGCTTTGAGCATGACTCAGAAGCCACATCTGGTAGGGGCTGATGTGATGACCGGCTGGAGGTCACCCTGTCTAATCTGATTTCCAGAGTTGCAGGAGAGGCAGAGCTTTCTGAGCACCAGGAACCAAGTGTATTAATTCACTACTTCCATTTAAAAAATTTTTTTTTTACTTATGCATAAAAGAACAGGCCAGATGTGCAGGGGTGAGATTCATCAGACACAGTGGGGAGCAGAGCAGGTGGACTGAATGAAATACACTGCTGAGGGGAGCAGCTGGCAGGCCAGGCAAGGTCTGCTGTGCCATGTGGGTCAGCTCCCTGGCTTCATGCCACAGTGGCTGCAGATAGCTTCATAGTGCTGTGCTGTAACCCATTGCGCCACCAGGGAGGGCCCTCATTACCTTTCTTAATCCATTCAGACACACTGTGAAGTCTGATGAGCCCCATTTTTAAAAATTTTTTTGAAGTACCATTGGTGAACACAGTTGCTAGTATTTTGTAAGTAGAGGATGCTACCCCCACCCCTTGCAGTCATGGTAGTGCACCCACATTCCTTCACCATTGTCCATGTGCTTTCTCCCCACTATGCTCTCACCCCACCCCCTTTCTCTCCACCCCTGGATGTCTCAGTTCCATGGTCATCCCTCAAGGATTTTTTTTTAAAGATTTATTTATTTATGCATACAAAATTGGGGTACAGGCCAGAGGTTGCTGGGTGGCAGTGAGAGGATTCACCAGAGACAGAGTGGAGAGCAGAACAGGCATACTGACTGAAACACACTGCTGAGGGGAGCAGCGGGCAGGTCAGGAGAGGGCTGCCATGCCATGTGGGTCACCTCCAGGGCAGGGGATCGAACTCATGTG